CTGAGAGTTTTGCAATAGATTTTCTAATTTTGAAATTTTATCTTTTAACTCAGAATTCTCCAATTTGAGACTCTCAGTCTTATCAGAGTCAGAAGCAAGATTCCTTTTCAGGTTTCTGAATTTGACTCTGATCTACTGATATCTTTCCAGAATTTCATTAAGGCTTTCATCTAGTTCAGCCTTAGTAAAGTTTATAGCAAAGTCAGGGAATACCTCTTCTGTATCTGATTCAGAGTCTGACTCAGAAGCTTCACTGTCTTCTGTTATGTTTGCCATGAGAGCTATGTTTGCTGTTTCATCATCTGATTCTGAGTCAACTTCAGATGTGTCAGAATCATCCCATGTAGCCATGAGACTTTTCTTCTTTTCCTTGCCAAACTTCTTTTTGGGCTTTTCCTTCTGAAGCTTTGGGCAATCACTTTTGTAGTGTCCTTGCTCGTTGCATTCATAGCAGATGATGTCTTTGTTGTTTGGCTTTCTGCTTCCTGAAGAGACTTCAGATCTTCTATGTCCAGAGGAGGATTCTGACCTTCTGTATCTGGAGAAGGATTCATTCTGATTCTCTGATCTTCTGGGATTCCTGAACTTCCTTTGCCTCTGCTTCCATAATTGGTTCACCCTTCTGGAGAGGAGAGATAGTTCATCTTCTTCTGATGAAGACCCATTAGAGGTTTCTTCTATAGCCTGCAAAACCTTGGAGTCAGATTTTCTGTTAGATTTTAAAGCTAATGGCTTACCTTGCTTTTGAGGTTCATCTGCTTCTAGCTCTATCTCGTGACTTCTGAGGGAGCTAACAAGTTCCTCCAGAGAGATTTTGTTAAGATCCTTGGCTAGCTTAAGCGCTGTGACCATTGGCCTCCACTGTTTTGGCAAGCTTCTGATGATCTTCTTAACATGATCAGCAGTAGAATACCCTTTGTCCAGAACTTTGAGACCAGCAACCAAAATTTGAAATCTTGAGAACATCGTTTCTATTGATTCACTTTCTTCCATCTTGAATGCCTCGTACTTCTGAATGAGCGCAAGAGCTTTGGTTTCTTTGACTTGAATGTTGCCTTCATGCGTCATTCTCAGAGAGTCAAACATATTCTTTGCAGTGTCTCTGTTTGATATCTTTTCATATTCAAAATAAGAGATGGCGCTGAGAAGAATTGTTCTGGCCTTGTGATGATTTCTGAAATCACGCTTTTGTTGATCAGACATTGCTTTCCTGTCAATCTTCAGACCACTTCCATCCACTGGGTGCGTGTATCCATCAGTCACCATGTCCCACAGATCAGCATCATGGGCCAGAAAGAAACTTTCAATTATGTCTTTCCAGTAGTCAAAGTTCTCTCCATCAAAGACTGGAGGTTTGCCACTGAATCTGTCTCTTTCTTCATTGTTGTCATTGCTGATGTTTTGATGTGGTCCTGCCATTGTGTTTTTCTGACGCTGGATCTTGTACTGACACGGTTAAGTGTTATAAGCTCAGAACCAGGCTCTGATACCAATTGAAGATGTGAAAAACACAAGAAGGGGGGTTGAATTGTAAAACTTTAAATCAAATGCAGACAATACTGTATTTTTATCCTGGTTCGTTTGATCTCAAACTACTCCAGTCCACCCGTCAAGGTGATTTCGCCTCTCTCCAACGAGGTCTTAATCCACTATATTCAACTGAATACAACAACTACTTTAACAACTGTTAAAGCCTTCTTGAGTCTAACCACAGACCGGTTTATCTCAAGGAAATTCTCTTACAGATAATTGAACAAAAGTGTGTTTGATGTTTTAAAAAAAAAAACTATATATCACAACTGTGATAATACACAAAATTAAGCTTAGAATAAAAACTAGACTGCTAATGCTTTTGAGTAGGCGTGGTTGAAAGCTTTAGCAATTTGAATGAGAGAGTTCGTTTACGTAGGCGTGTATGTGCGTGAAGATTATTAGCCTTTTCTTTTCTCACACAATCTTGTTTAAATAGCCACAGAAGAGATACGTTGGTTGTCCATAAATCCATTTCAATGACCATAACGTTCTTTCCTTTTTGAGAAGATCTTGTCTTGGATAAAGCCGTTGGAAATAAATATGTCTTGAATGCTTAGTAACGCTTCAGAGTGTTCTGCTATTGATAGCGCTTCATAATGTTCTTTGCTTTAGCTTATGCTGAGGCTTCTGAGTGCTGATGACTTGCTAAAGATCTTGATCAGAGTCAGAGTATTTTATGCGCAGATTCTGGTCATCAGGCTTCAGCGTACGATCTGGTAACTTCAGCGTGTAGCAAATATTATTGATCTTCTGATACTGACATATCTTCTGATGCTGATGTTGATATTGATCTTCTGATGCTGATTCCATAAGAGTTTCTGTAAATACACAACATAATTTTAAGTAGCATATATGTCATATATATAAATCTTACAATTTATTTATTCTTGTATTTTGTTATCATCAAAACTCTAATTGAGGGTTGTAGAATCAAACTATGTTCTAACAACGATATGATAAAACTAAATAAATACTTACTTACTTTTGCTTGCTGTTTTACCGCTTCAGCACCTATCCAACAAATATTGAAACATATTCCTTTTAGATCTACCTGTAAAAGTAGGGAGTCCCAAGTAATGTCCAATATTATCCTTTGCTTGTTTCTTAGATCACATTTGAGCGGTTAAACCTTTGCTTAGATAACAAGAATTGTTAACATCAGAGTAAACAACTTACAACACACAACGACAAGGGAAACACAAAAGAATCAAAGGCTTACCAACATAGATGTTACCAGGGAAAAAAGATCCACATAGGTTCAACTTTCTCTCTTTTTTTTTTTAATTTTTCTTGCTTCTGAATGTATTCTCTTCTTCTTCAACCTCTGCTTGTTCTATTGTTGTTGTGCTTGCTTCTGTATTATGTTATATAGGTTAAGCTCAACTTACTCAGAGTTTCAATATGAAGCTTTGAGAAGTTTTGATTTTAAAGCTTTAAATGGTAGTAAATGGGGGAAATTTTGCAGAGTAAGGGTATGAAATTATGCGTGTTTGTGAGTGAATATTAAGTGTGTTCTTATAGGATAGTGGTAAGTGTAGTTTATGGTTACCAAGAGTGTGAGAAAGATTAGAAAATAGAGGGAAATTAGAGTAGCTTATGTTTAATTTAGAATGAATTTGAGGTGAATTTAGATAGAATTTGAATATAATCCGTGTGGAATAATTGAGTTGTTGGTTAGGATTTTGTTTTGAAATGTTAAAGATAGGCTCAAATTGAATTTATTAAGTTTTGTGTTGAAATGAAATTAGCTTTGAGTTTGTTGAAATTGTTTTTTAGATGTATTTGTTTTTGAACTTGTCTCTAAATTTGTTATTGAATGTTGTTTGTGCGAGTGAAAATTTGCTTGAGGGTCTCACCGATGATTGTGATGATGTATGGATGATTTGTAATAATATGATTCTAATAGTTTTTGTTATATCTTTGGAATTATGATTCTAATAGTTTCCCTTTGATATCCAAACTCTAAGTTCACATTGCATGACAACAATAAGACTTGAGTTTCCGTTTAACTTTTTTATCTTTCTCTTTTGCATTTGCATCTTTAAGATTAAAACTTCTTTTTCTTAATCAAAATTTCAAAACACTTAACAATAAAGAGGTGAACCATATGTCATGAGCCTTAAGTATTGGGAGAAGTATGAACAGGTGCATTCTTAACCCTGTGCTTCCTTTCAGTCATAGTCTTTAATGGGGTTCAAGTCATAAACTCTTTTGCAAATAAGCGGAGAAATAGTAGGTACCCTTGCATTGGGATCCATTTGTTATCATCCCAACAAAAATACCTAACCAATTCAAACCTTTTTGTGTTTGGACTTTTCTTTTGAAAATCTTTTCATAAAGAACATGTTAATTCCTTTCTACGACAATTGCGTGAGTCTCCAAAGATCAATCTGCAGTAGAATGCTAAATTTAACTCCGTTCACTAAAAATATACAACAAATCAAAATTTTCTAGAAGAACTACGATACTCTGATTCTCTATTACACGGCGGGGATATGTAAGCACGAGGTTTCAAAACCGAGGTGAGTGAAATAATAAAAGCTTTGTTTTTTGTTCATTAATAATTCATTCATACATTCCCTTAGAAAGTTTAAGCTTTGGTAACACACCCTCTGATTAGAAAAAATATAGTGGATCACATTGAGTACAACGAATGTTTAGGGTGCTAATACATTTTCTTTGCATAACTGACTCCCGTACCTTGATCTCTATTTTATTTTGGATTTTATTCGCTCTATTCCCATTTCATTTAGAAAGAATAAAATGTAGTGACAACTTTCATTTTGTGAGTTAAGTTAATCGATAGTTTAATCTCAACTTTTCACCGCTACAATAATGATACACAATTTCTCAAAGATGAAAACTTTAAAAAGTCAGAGTGATTTAATCTCATTTCTTTTATATGAATGAGTCCCTCTTATATGAGAATGTTTTCATCCACGTCGAACGAGTCCCTCATTCATTAGGTGAGTTCCGCAACCGCAAGGCATTGCCTTCGTATGTGGGAAGCTCTAAGATATGCTACTAAGGGTTAGTGATATAATTTACACGGTAGGTGCAGGATTTCAAACGAAAATCAGTTGACTGAATAATCAATTGAAAAATATTTATATGTGCATAAAAGTTAATGAAAAATTTCTTGAGTTATTTTGTCAGTAGATAGAATTTTTTTAAACAACCTCATAAGAATTACATAATAGGGATTATTTTGTATATTATATACATTATACACATTATATTACATTCATTACTGTTATTTGTAAATGAACTCATCATCGCATTTTACATATAGCAACGATTTATTGATAAAAGATCTCTACTAGTGAAATCTTTATACTATATATGGCAAGATAGATAATAACAATACAAGTTGTTGTCTATCTATACCTTTTATGGTATGCTATGTATTTAACTTATTTTATCCATGAAATTTATTTCTAAAAGTCTGATGTATGATGATATGACTATCAATTATGTGTGTTGTCTTTAGTTTGCCCATCTACAACTTCACCACCATTGTAACCGCCATCAATATCTGGGTAACCACCACCAAAACGACCACCATTATACGGATAACCACGAACATAACCACCATCATATCCACCTTCATTACGGGGATAACCACCAATATAACCACCATAATGTGGATAACCACCATTGTAACCATTAACATAGTAGCCTCCATGACCAAAGATGCCATTAAATGTCTTTTCATCAACCATTTCTGCAAATACAATATGATGTAAATTATATGTTTACTTTATGTTATAGGTATTGACATAAACTTGGTTTCATTCATAGGTAACAAAGAAATGTCTAAACTGAAATTATATAACATTAAATGCTTGTATGTTTGTTTTAATTCCAAACTTTTAAATGAGTCAAAATTAATTTTATAGGAGAATAATTGATTTTGCTTCTAGAATACATACAAACATAAGTAAGAATTTAAGTAGGGGTTAAATTTTTATGATATTGGAGGCGTAAAAATTTAAAACTCTTCAACACACAAAACTCTTAGTACATTAGGCTAGACTAAGCTAAGTTGATCTAAAATATTTTCAACCTATATTCATAATTTATTGATTTACTATCATTTTTAGAAATTATGATTTAATAATGTATAATTATAAACTTAACATATATTATAAAGTAAAATCAACAATAACCACAGTACTTAATACATTTTAGCCTAAAAATTAATACTGTATAATATTTTATCATAAAAATTTAATAACAAGAGAGTTTAAATTTTTACGCCTCCAATTTTAAATTTAATATGTTGTTATTAAATTTTTATGATAAAATATTATATAGTATTAAGTTTTAGGCTAAAATGTATTAAGTATTGTGGTTATTGTTGATTTTACTTTATAATATATGTTAAGTTTATAATTATATATTATTAAATCATAATTTCTAAAATGATAGTAAATCAATAAATTATGAATATAGGTTGAAAATAATTTAGAACAACTTAGCTTCGTCTAGCCTAATGTACTAAGAGTTTTACGATTTTGTCGCAGGCATATATAGTGTGTTGAAGAGTTCTTATAAAAATTCCCTTGAAAAAACATACTTGAAGCTTAAATTGAAAAAAATAATAATGAATAGCTCACCCTTTCGAGTACGGGAGGAAGTCTTAGTTAAGTCCCTTGCTGACACCTCTGAGGAGATTATAAGAATCATAGCGAAGAAGGCTAGGATGAGCATTATAGCGTTTTTCGAATCCATACTTTTAAACTAGACAAATTGAATCAATTGGAAAATGTGTTAGTATACAAATCTATAAGAAATTGTGTACTATATATAGTGGAGGAAAGTATGGATCAACACGTAAGTTTTACTTGGTGGTTGGAAAAGTAGCTCGTATGTATTAAAACTGGGAAGAAAATAGTTTTTTACCGTCCTATATAAAAGTGCTATCTCATGCAGATACCATTTCAAATAATCCCCACACTATTTAGAACGGCACGGGTGGTCCAATGTAAGCTTTTGATAGAGTACAGCTGGTACCTAGGGTTAACTAGAATTCGGTTTTAATTGATTCACTTACTAATTTTTTTGGTTAATACTATAAGATTAAAGATAAAAGATAGTGCACCAGCGGTGTAACTTTACACTGTCATTCAAAAGGAATTTATTATTCAGCTATATCATATAACTATTTTAAAAGTATCATTTTGATTTGATAGAATATGCGATGATGATTGGTTGATACTGTAAAAATATTTTATATTATCGATGTATATAATTTTTTCTCTAATACTATTAGAATTAAATCAACAACGATCGATTAAATATACATGTTCAACAAAGTTTAACATACAATTTAATGCGGAAATTAGATAGTCATACACACATATGTATAAAATTAAATGACATACAAATTGATTTTAGAATTACTTAAATCCTTTGAGAAAAGCTTTTTTGGTGGTATTCATGAAACATAAAAGTTAAGAGATAAACAACGAACACTTGATGACTAGTGTGATTATTCCTCGACCAGTACTCTTAATATTTTGAATATTCTGATTCTGATTTCACGGGTTGCAAGTTGGATAAGAAAAGTATTATTGTAATCTCTGACTTCTTTGGAAGCTGTTTAGTTTCTTGGCACATAGCGTGGCTCTTTCTACCATTGAGGTTGAATATGTGGCCGCTGATAGTTGTTGTGCACAATTCTTATGGATAAATCAACAATTGTTATATTATGATTTAAAACACGGTTGCATTCTGATTAAGTGTGATAGTACTAATATGACTAGCCCCACTAAGAATCTAGTACTTCATTTAAGAACTAAACACATTGATATCCAACACCATTTTCGTATAGATCATGTTGAAAATGGAGATGTTGTTTTTGAATACGTTGACACTAAAAGTCTATTTGCTGTCATCTTTACAAAATCATTGTCATCAAACTCTTTTCACAAGATTTTTAGGGATTTGAAAGTCTTAGATTTCTTGTGCTGTAAATAGAATAAGAATTCTGTTTAGTTTCATTTGTTATATATTTTGTTTTCACTAACACTATTTTATAGCAAATCATACTTTTGCCAACTACATTGGTATGTCTCTATAACACTTGCATCTGATCTATATTATTTTGTGTATGTTTGTTCTATATATATTCATTGGTTTGCTTATTACCTTATTTACTTTATTCATTCATCTCTAGCCGGTTTTATTTATTCTAGTTTGCATTTAAATCTTTTAAATGTGTGTTGTTTATTAAGTGCATTCGAGCATTTATATACTTGTTCATGCATTATTTAAATTGTTAATGTATTCCTTTACATGATAGTTTTAATCACTTAATTGTATATTGTTGAATATTTTGGAACAAAATCGGTTTATGCCACATCTCTTAGGTTTTGATGATAACAAAGCATTTAAAGAATAATTAGGTAGACTGATAACTAATACAAATAATATATTTTACGATGAGACTTTCACCTCAGAAAAAAAAAACGAGGTATAATGCTAAAGTGCACCATGATTTTTTGTTTATAAAAATAAAAATCACATATTCCCTCGGTTTTTATTATAACCGAGGGAAAAACAATTCAAGACACGCTTCGAATCCCAGCTATTGCAGTTTATGTTTTTATTTGTTTATAAGTGTAAACTAAATGATTTATCCCATTGATTTCTGTAATAATTGAGTGATAAAATAATCTGATTTTACTATAAAAATACTCGTTAAAAATATTTTACTTTAATCCTTACTTATATGTAGTTGTCCTAAACTCATATGTATCATTCTTTGGGATGAATTGCAAGTTAGAAAAAATCTTCAATGTTCTTCAATCTTGAATAAAACATTTTTCTGTCCTTGAATCTATCTCACATAATGGTGTTGATGTTGTTGTTATTATTGTATTTTTGGAACAACCCTTAGTTAAAGAAGGGAGCTCAAACTTTGAAAAGTACCCAGTTGATAGATTGCAAGTGCAGAAAATCATTATTGCTTCAACTTACACAAAGGAGAGAGTTCAACATTTGAAAAGTGCGCGCAGAAAATCAATTTTGCTTCAAGATAAACAAAGAAGGGTGCTCAATCTTTAAAAAGAAAATTTCTCATTGTCGGAACAAATACTTATCAGAAGTTGGATAAGTGGATTTTTTGTGGGAAACAGAGGGTATACAACTAAATTTGAATATCAGCAAAGATATTCAGTAATAAGAGCAAATATTTCTTGTAAACAATTTATTTTAATATTATGTGTAAATAATGTAATATAAAAAAAATTATTGACCTTGCTTTTTAATCTTACTCGAGGGGTATGTGTAAATGTATACATTTTACCTTGAATTTTGTTTTAACTGAGGAGATAATTAAGCATTTTTTTAGGATATTCACCGACCTTGAACAAATATTTTGCCATTAATTTAATGAGTATCAACGTTCAAGACTCTTCCATTAGTGATCCGCGTAAACTCCAAGAGACGTCTATTATAAGAGCACTTGAAACCTAAAGACGTTGAATATTAATATTTCTAACCTAAATGAAATACGAAGCGCTTGAAACCTAAAGACGCTTGGATAAGTTGGATTGTAAGAGAATAAAATTATTTGAGTTTAAGGTTTGTTTTCTTGAATATTTACTTGAGCCAAGAATCATATATTTGAATATTGATTTTAATTATCTTACTTTTTTCATCAATAACAAATGCATGCAAGATCCATAGAGAATAATCTTGCATCCAACATTCGATCTTCTCCAAGATTCAATAATTCGAAGATCTAAAATCTAGATCTTCAAGAAATTTAATTTTTACTTTGATTTTCTGTGTAAATAATATAATATTTTGGGTAAATAATGTACTTTGTAAACAAATTAATATGTATTAATATGATGGGTAAAAATTGTAATGAGTTTATAAAAAAAGATATTATTCTTACCCCTCATTTATATTGGTAAACCGAGAGATAAGACATGCTAGTTTTGGAAATAATAAAAGTGCAACTGATGGAATTCGAACCCATGTGTATATAACTTTACCCCTCGATCATTAAAGCACTGAGGTGTTAAGTGAAAACTTTTCATGACGCCATTTGTTACTTTAGCAGTGGTTAAATGTATTTCACATCCGAGGTTAAATGTTTTTTATAGTAGTGTATGTGTGTTCAAATGTGCAGGTACAAAGATCAAAATACTGATTGAAAGTCAATTCTGAAACTACACTGAACATTAGAAGAAAATCTCTTAAGAGACAAATTTTGTAGATCAGACTCTTGAGAATCAACTTCTGATCAAGTAAATTTCTTATGATTAGAACCTGAAGTCTACAAACTCTGAGCAAGTCAGCTTTTGAATATCATGCCAGCCTCTCAAGAGTCAGAGTCTGAAAGATCAGAAGTTAAGACTCAAACTATGAAAAACTAGAACCTGTATCCAGTCAAAGCTCAAGAACCGACGATTTTTTAATAGGTCACTATATGACTTTATGGTCATTTTGTCCTATTCTAGTCACGTGAAGACTTAGCACAAAGTTGCAGAAGCATGATGTTTCACAACTGATAACTCCTTTTGTAGAAAATGAGTTTCAAATGTGTTTTCAACGACATTAACCATGTGAGGAAGCTTTGCAACATATCTGTTGATGCATATCTCCAAAGACTCTCTTTTTCTTGAATTTTTTTCCAACGACTCTTTCATGAAACTCTTTAAAAGGAGCTGAAGACTTGGAGAAAGATATAATACTGCGCCTTGACAAGAAAAATAGAAGTTACATTCTTATAAGTTCTTAAGTCTTAGAGTTTTCCGGTGTTGTAATTTTGTTTACACATTTGATTATATATCAAGTGTAATTATAACTCTATAACTATCATTTATATGTTAGATATATTGTTACAAGTCTATTTCTTGTGTGTTTGAGTAGTAAATTTTCTTGCTTGTGTGCTTGAGAAATTAGAAGTCTCATGCTTGCATGCTTGAGAAATCATAAGTCTCTTGCTTGTGTGCTTGAGAATTGAAGTCCCTTACTTGTGTGTTTGGGAATAAGAAGTCTCTTGCTTCTGTGCTTGAGAAACTTGCAAGTAGATTTTATTATAGTGGAAATTTCTTGGAAGTGCAAGGGGGCTGGGCTACTCTAAATTTAGAGGAGGAACCAGGATAAATTTCTTGTGTGTTATTTTGATCTATTCTTTATTTCTGTTCATATGATTCTACTACTATTCATCAGACTTTGAATCACATTTTAACCATTGCAACTAGAATTTGATAACAGATTTCTAAGAGAAGTAGAAGAAAAGTCAACACAATTAAACCTTTTTTCTTGTATTTTTCTCACCATAATTTGGCATCAGAGTACGGTATGTGCATTAAAACGTAACAGTGGTACAAAAAAGATTTTGAGAGAAAAACGTCTTGGTTAATCCTGGAGTTATTAAAAATGTTGAAGGTAGTACATCTGAGAAGAATAATGATATCTTCAAACCTCCAACATTGAGTTGAAATTCTACTAAGTTTGAGTGGTGGAAAGGCAAGATGTATACTCACATCATAGGCCTTGATGATGATTTATGGGATATCCATAAAGATAGAATTGATTTTTGTTGTTAATGGAGTAGGTATGATGGATCATAGAAAGAGCCTCACACCTGTTAGGAAAAAGATCTATAAAAATCATCATAGAGTTATAGGAATCTTGATAGACGCTCTACCTCACTCTAAGTATAT